TAGAATAAAATGTGATAATGTCATTACAGAAAAATATGCAATATTACAACTCAATAAGGGAATGTAAGAATAGGCAATATTACAACTCTATAAGGGAATGTAAGAATAGGCAATATTACAACTCTATAAGGGAATGTAAGAATAGGCAATATTACAACTCTATAAGGGAATGTAAGAATAGGCAATATTACAACTCAATAAGGGAATGTAATATGCAATGTTACAACTCAATAAGGGAATGTAATATGCAATATTACAACTCTATAAGGGAATGTAATATGCAATGTTACAACTCAATAAGGGAATGTAAGAATGGGCAATGTTACAACTCAATAAGGGAATCTCACTGTGATTCGTTGATTGTTGTGAATTCTGAATCAGGCGATTACATTTGTGACAAGGCAGCTTCTAAGTTAAGTCAGTCTTTATGTCCTTCAAGCTATTGAATTGAACCAAGCTATTCAATTTGTAACTAATCCCAAATTTGTAAAGACCAGCGTAGTCCTATATACTTTTTAATTTCTCAACCCAAATTTTATATGAACCAACATAGTCTTATATACTTTTTGATTCCTCTATCCAGATTTTATATGAACCAACATAGTCCTATATACTTTTTGATTTCTCTACCCAGATTTTATATGAACCAACATAGTCCTATATACTTTTTGATTTCTCTACCCAAATTTTATATCCTAATACAACTAAAGTTTTATCATTTTCCGAAACAAAACGAATATCCATATTAGAACACTTATATAATATTATACTAAAAATGATAAAATGGTGGAAACAAGGAAAGAGGGTGGATTTAAAAAAGGCATATATTAACTCTGTTAAACACAGATTATAGAAAATGAAGCAAAATAATATATAAAAAAACTAAAAACTTTCATGGGGACACTAGTTAATATGAATCAAAACTGTGAGGACGGTTCAAATATATGTGGGTTTCGATATTTACTTTGCAAATGGATTAAGACATTGTATAAAACTGTTTGCTTTCCAATTTGGTGTGGTGCTTTACGGCACAGCAGGATAAGTAGGTAAGTTTTTTTCCAAGGCTATTGGCAAAAGTGTCTTGTCCAAGGAAACACTACGGTATCTAGACCAGGCTGATCCAATGGTAGGATTCAAAGTGTCTTGCCCAAGGAAACACTACGGTATCTAGACCAGGCTGATCCAATGGTAGGATTCAAAGTGTCTTGCCCAAGGAAACACTACGGTATCTAAACCAGGCTGATACATTGGTAGGATTCAAAGTGACTTGCCCAATGAAACACTACGGTATCTAGACCAGGCTGATCCAATGGTAGAATTCAAAGTGTTTTGCCCAAGGAAACACTACGGTATCTAAACCAGGCTGATACATTGGTAGGATTCAAAGTGACTTGCCCAATGAAACACTACGGTATCTAGACCAGGCTGATCCAATGGTAGAATTCAAAGTGACTTGCCCAAGGAAACACTACGGTATCTAAACCAGGCTGATACATTGGTAGGATTCAAAGTGACTTGCCCAATGAAACACTACGGTATCTAGACCAAGCTGATCCATTGGTAGGATTCAAAGTGTCTTGTCCAAGGAAACACTACGGTATATAAACCAGGCTGATACATTGGTAGGATTCAAAGTGACTTGCCCAATGAAACACTACGGTATCTAGACCAGGCTGATCCATTGGTAGGATTCAAAGTGTCTTGCCCAAGGAAACATTACGGTATCTAGACCAGGCTGATCCAATGGTAGAATTCAAAGTGTTTTGCCCAAGGAAACACTACGGTATCTAAACCAGGCTGATACATTGGTAGGATTCAAAGTGTCTTGCCCAATGAAACACTTCGGTATCTAGACCAAGCTGATCCATTGGTAGGATTCAAAGTGTCTTGCCCAAGGAAACACTACGGTATCTAGACCAGGCTGATCCAATTGTAGAATTCAAAGTGTCTTGTCCAAGGAAACACTACGGTATCTAAACCAGGCTGATACATTGGTAGGATTCAAAGTGACTTGCCCAATGAAACACTACGGTATCTAAACCAGGCTGATCCATTGGTAGGATTCAAAGTGTCTTGCCCAAGGAAACACTACGGTATCTAGACCAGGCTGATCCAATTGTAGAATTCAAAGTGTCTTGCCCAAGGAAACACTACGGTATCTAAACCAGGCTGATACATTGGTAGGATTCAAAGTGACTTGCCCAATGAAATACTACGGTATCTAGACCAGACTGATCCATTGGTAGGATTCAAAGTGTCTTGCCAAAGGAAACACTACGGTATCTAGACCAGGCTGATCCATTGGTAGGATTCAAAGTGTCTTCCCCAAGGAAACTACGAAAGTCTGTCAAGCCAAAGCAGCTCCTTGTATAAAGATATCACATCAAAATTTTGTTAAAAGTAGCAAAAACGTATAGCTTCAAGAAATAACACTTTTTAAACAAAAATCCAGGGAAACAATAAAAGGAATATTTTAGGCATCAAATCTGACAAAATAATTACAATAGACAGATAAGGACACAAATTTCATAAAGGATGGCTTCCCAGGTAGACACAAACTAGAAAAGTAATTTCTAGCATCGGTATCAAAATTAAATCACGACAAAACTGAAATACTTCTGACTGAAAATGGTGAGAAAATAACCCTTTACTCCCATCAAACCTTATAAAATAAACAGTGAAAACCCTGGAGAAACATACCGGAAGATTTCGATACAAATAAGGTATAATCAAACAGTAGAGAAGGTAAGCAAAAATTAAAACTTGGTAATACTCACTTCTAAACCTGATGGAAACAGTTGAGGTCGCTTTGACGTATGTGTTTATATATATATATATATATATATATATATATATATATATATATATATATATATATATATATATATATATATATATATATATATATATATAACCTGATGGAGAGAGTACAGGTCACTTAGACATATATATATATATATATATATATATATATATATATATATATATATATATATATATATATATATATATATATATATATATATATATATATATATATATATATATATATATACAACCAGATAAGATATAAAAAAAAACTATTGGTCTAATAGATACATAGATACAACGGTGAATACATGAAAACAAGAAAACAATACACTATATAAGGGCGGGGAAGGTTCACTTTCTTCCTAGGAAATATTTGTTCAACTCAAAGAGGGAGGATTAAGACGTCTACAAATATGATGTATTTGAAAACAAATATCATAAATAAGATAATCAATTTAGTACTTAATACAAAAATATGCGTACGCAGCTTTACACGTATTTGGTTATATATACAACTGTAATACTGAAATATATAGGTAAATATAACTTATTAAAGTTGATAGAAACACCCATAATATTTAAAAAGGACACTTCATATTTCAATACAGAGAAAAGGAGACTATATGGAAACAACTTAATGATAAAAACATGTATAAAAATTAAAATCAGGGAAAATAATCGGCCTATACTAAACAAGGGAAGACTGGGTGTTCTCATCCAAGTAAAGACCAGGTGAAGGTGTGATGCAAAAGCTATGTCGCTTACGTAAAGTAGTGGGGATTACACGCGAGTTCTTAAACAGACAGTACAATATAACAAAAACACTATATAACAAAAACAAAAATAGTAACAATTACACTACACTAATAAGGGCGAGCAATTTACAAACATAGACACCACGGAAAGCATATAACAATATATACTAATTTGTTTTTCGTCTTGATTTTTGTGCGCGTGGGTGGGGGTGGGTCCTTCATATTGAAAATCTAAATATAGAGTTTGTTTTTCGTTTTGAATTTTTGTCTTTTTTGTTTGTGTTTGTTTTTCTTGTTCATGGTGAAGCCCTTGTACTATTTAAACTACGATAAAACTATACCAAAATATATAATCACCTTGATTAGATTATGGGGAAGAAGAAGAAGGTACCTGGGATAGGAACACATAGGTATACGATGCCAAATTGGCATGGCTCCCGCAGGATGTTCTGCAGAGGGAATCAGGATCTTTTGCAGAGGGCGTAAATATTTCATCAAAGGGGTGGGGTCAGTCAGTCATGGCTGGGAGAGTTAGTATAAGAAGCATTCTGAAACTAAAGCTAATATTTATTAACCGTTTTGAACAGAAGATTGCATGATTAATATATATATATATATATATATATATATATATATATTTTTTTTTTTTTTTGCAGTATGATCCCCTTGACCCATGCTGCGGGCGCACATGCAACTCGGAGATGGTGTCCAAGATGTGTCCATCTGTAACTGGCACAAGCCAAACTCTGAAATCACTGTTTTATTTTCAAATCTTCAGGTAGCTCTGACAATAAATAAACTTAAGGAACACTTTATGAATATGATCGAGCTCAAGCCGCTCAATATCACCAAAAGAAAAAACGCAGTATACTAGAACACACAGAATAGACACTGGGTCGTCAAGATCTCTAGCAAGGATCACTTTGAATAAATATGGCAAGAAACAGACCAAAGAACTAAAGATATCATGGTACCAATTGTTTCTTTTGTGTGTGTGTTTTTCATATACCTCAATGCTAAAATTTTGTGAAATAAATATATTTCCTATCCAACACCAGTATACGTCTCAAACACTGTCACACAGAGCAATGTTAGATTGTCAATTTGACACGGACAGAACAAAGTGCTCCATTGTATCTAATAGAGATATCTCTGCTGCAACTAAAGAGTTATAAAGTCATAAGAGTGCGAGTGTGTTTGTGTGTGCGTGTGTGTGTGTGTGATCAAGATTTTTAACATAGCTTTAACAATTTTCTGTTGTATCGCTACGATGTCTGCATTCTGACAGTTTATAATGATGTGAAGCAGACATGTAGCATGATGCCCCATGCAGTCACATTATCATGACACCAGGACGAGCAGTACTAATACCAACCTCTTAATGCTTAGCTGAAAACAAGGCAGCTATTAGTACCATTTTTAAAGTCTTTGTTATGACTCATCCGGATTTCAAACCTGCGACCTCCAGCATCTGAGGCGGACGCTCTAACCACTAAGCCACCGGATTGGTCAGTCATAAAAGATGATGAGTGTCATATTTTTAAAGAATCAAGAATACAAAATATGATTAAGAAATGCATTTAAGATAATTTCCCATGTTGCCAAGAGACTCAGCTTTTTGTAAGCCTGACAGAAACTACTATTCTTAAAAAATTCTGCAATCACGGCTAGTTCTGTTGTATACTCCTGAATGCAATGCTTCTACGCATTAAGCTCAGAATAACCGGAGTTGTTCAATTGATAGGATTCGGGTTACCAATTGTTACTTCCGGTTCAGTACCCACGAATTATGTCCTAGTTTATTATAAGAGCATTTTCCTCTCTCATTTTGGCCGTGATGCAAGAGTTAGATTGAGACATTATTTATTAATTTAACGGTACTGTTTATTATTTAGAATTAGAGCATTGTGGTGTGGTTGACCGTGTATTTCGGCGTGAGTAATGGCTGATACATTGATGCTGACCCGAAAGTAAAGTCTGTAACCAACGCATGGTGTTTTGCTTAGAGTCCAGCAACTCAAAACGAAGATGGATAACCAATTATAAGAACTTTACCGTGAGTTCATCTTTAAAAGAACTTTAGAACAAGATATGATTTATTATCATTTGTAAAGAATGGAAAGTTCACCACAGAAACAAATGCAGAGAATATACAAAAAATTAATTGTGACTTGAGTCAAATTGGTATCATTACACATAGTGTCTTGTGTTACGTATCGGCTCGTTGAAAGTAACAGAAGAAAATAGTGGAGACAAGAAGCTTTACAAGTATTAACAAAGATAATTATATTTTCATAGAAAACACGGCGAAAAAGGTGACGATATAAATCACCAATTACTGCTTGTGAATAAAAATCCCAAACATTTATCCTAGAATTTTAAATTTATATATGAGTCCTATTAATAAAAGGTTCGAACAGAGTATTGTTTGAAACTCAAGTTGTTTCCAAAATTGAGGATGATAACGTCAGATGAAGTTTTTACACAAATGTTTATAATTTCACGTTGAACCACAATTTGTACTGTACTGTTCCATATTAGAATAAATTTCACTGAATGTTTTTGTCCTAAACCACTTGTACAGTTCTCCAGAGAATAAATCATTATTTAAAAGGTAGACGAACTCTTATAACTATCATCTATAACAAGGCATGTATCTAGCTTTATAGATGCAATGAAAACTTAACTCTTTTCGGCACAAGAAACATATACCATTCTTCTATTAGGTATATTATACTATTCACTCCACCACAAGAAATATAATACCTTCTTCTCCAGGCATCATATACAATTGACTATGACACAGCTGAGAGATATTATTTGACTGTCTATTTCATAGGGACCTAAGTCTGTTTAAACTAGACTGAGACGTCATTACATGCTGCACGCGCACAGATAGGACGTATTATTTCATTATTTGACAATGTGAAGTACACAATATAAACACATATACTCGTTAAAACATTGGCACAGCCAACTATTTACATCGTTTGTTTATCAAAACCGACTATCTAAATAACTCTTACGAAAGCCGAGAAAGATATTTACGTACTAAATAAACAAACTCTTACGAAAATATCAGTGCCCGTGAACAATAATTATTATCGCAATATAGCACAATGATACAAAAATGAAAAAAAGAATTCAAATTTTAACAAATAAGAAATTAAAATACAGGGACGTAACACTTCCCCTCATAAAAAGAGTTATATAATAAAGCCTTCTTTTTGTTTTCTTTTGCTAGATGTAAACAGTACAAGAGGTAAAAGTAATATTAAGGGTTGATGATCTATTCTCAGAGATCCCCTGCCTCCCCCCAAAAAACTTTGTACGTTGACATTTTTGTCAGCAGCCCTTTTTAGCTCAAAATGATGACTTTTACATGATAAGGCTTTTCTAACACATTTTCTGACAAAAATATGTTTTGTTGGGGCAGGGATGACTCTGAGATAGGATCAGATCAATCCTTATACTGCTATAAAAGTTGATATATTATTTAATAACGATATTTATAATGCTGCACAAAATTAAACATCTGTTGTTTATTATCATATTTTTCATATTTTCTAGCTCTCACTAGCAGAATATCTGTTAATATATTGTCAATAATACGGAACTCGCGTAATAAATCGTCCATATCATATTTTATATACCCCCAAATAATTTCGTATTTGACCAAGTAATTTTTTACAGGTAATACTTGCTGTTTTGCAAGCATTTTTGTAGTCGAAAGTTGAGGCTCAACTTTTTTACACGCTGTTGTAAGAGTAACACCAACGCCGGATAATATTACCAAAAATGAAACAGATTTAATGATGCGCCACTTAAAATTATAACAGAGCTGGTCATTAGCAGCGGTAGATATGATATCACTCGAAGTATTTTGATATATTGTTTGTAACATTTTTTTACGCACCGAATTGTTTTATGATAATATCAGTAATATTGCATTAGAGCGTCAACATCTTGTTTGGGAACGTTATCTGAAATATGAATAACATCGAGTATATTTTTTATTATATAATATTTGTTTACATATTTTATACCGTCATGTAAGTAACTAATTCGGGAGTTTCAGCTCTAAATTCAATACGCCACCTGTAAGTAGCTGCGGTTAAATTTTTATTATCTGCTATCATCATAAACATTACTTCGGTACCTTTGTTTATTACTATAGACACAGATCATGAAAAGTCATCAGTCGAATGACGCCATGGAAATGAAGCAAATATGCTAATCTTTGCACCGCTAATTACGGACAGCCTATATACACCAGTGACCTCTACGGTGTGCTTAAGAGTGTTATTTTGCTGTGACCATGTTGTTTTTTCCTGATGCTACTGTGTACACGATATTGTTAGCTCTTCCGTGAGGAGTTTTAACAAGATTAGTTTTTGAACGATATTAGGAATGCTACTTAAAATATCGTTAAGTCTTGCGTTAATATCAGCAAGTTTCATATCAACAGTTGGTGGAGTTTCAAAGAATTCATTATTTGTTCTGTTTAAATTTTTACGAAAATTTAAAAACGCTTGTAAATGATTACTATAATCAGTCTTATATGCAGCAAGTCCATCATTGATTGTTGCTAACGAAGTTGTTATTGTAATTTTCTTTTCGTCGACGTATTTTTAGTTGTAGCGTCGAAATCCTTATCTGGTGTTCTGTGATTACTAATACCAACTTTTATTCATATTGAGAAATGAACGCATCATACCTCCGCTCCCTAATATGCATTAAAAATTTTGATCATATATGTATTTGTTCGTTGCTGCGTCTGATTCTGCAGTTGGATTTCCAAGTTATGCAATTGTTTCCCTGACATAACAATATCACCAGTAAATACATAAGTAATCATTAACTGACTTACCTGAATCTTGTATTTTACCTTGGTTAGCAAAAGTGACTATATATTTAACAGCCGCGGCGGGAATACGTATAAGTACATCTGACAGTTGTATATTACTCGTTTATAATCGTCCTTTATATCTTGAAAAATAACAACTTCATTTTAATCAACACTTGTGATATTTAATAAATTAGTGATTTCTTTTTTGAGCTGATCAAGAGTTGCATTTAAATAAGTCACCTTGCTGAGCAGACGATGAATCTCCTAATGTTGTTACAAATTTTGAAAAAAGCTCATTATTTATTTAATACAAGACAAAATTATATAACCTAAAATTGTATAACACTAAAGGCAAAATCGTCGATATTAAACTTTGATACAAAACGTTTGGTGAAACATAAACATAACAATGAGCTTCCAGATTGTCATTAGCTTATTATTGGTAGAACTGGATCTGGCAAAACAAATTTCCTTATGAATTTACTACTTGGAGATAACATTAACTATGATCGCGCTTATGTTTACACAATTAATTCACAACAGGATAAGTACGAGTTACTTAGCAATTATAATGACAAACTTCTTGATGATCTTGAGGCTTGCAGAGATTTTTAATATCAGACAAACAAAATAATTTGTTCCAGTTAATCAACTTGATTCGTCCGAACACAAAATAGTTGTTTTTGATGATATCCCGCTAAACAACGAGGAAATGAATAAAATCAGATCGTATTTTCACTTTCGCGAAAAAAGAAATATAATTATATTTATCTTGCTTTGGGATATTATAATGTTGACAGATTTATTAGGCGAAATATTATTTCCAGGACTTGACAATACTAACCTTAAGAAATATCGCGAACGAACAATGCAACGATGTAACAAAAGATACGTTTATTGAACTCTATCGTCAAGCAACGGCAAATAGATATGATGTTTTTGTTTGATAAATTAACAAATGATAGCAGTAAAATGTTTCGATGTTGTATTGAAACATATTTACAGCAATTTGTTTATAGAAAATAGTTTATAATTAATGAAACAACAAGCAAAGTATAAAAACATATAAAATCTAAAAAAAACTTGCAATCTCAGGCACAATTTAAACAGCAAGTACAGCAAGCACGACGTTGACAGATAGCTACAGCTGAAACAACAGCTACATTTCTCAAACCAATTACTGAGGATTTACTTGGAAAATAACCTGAAGGTAAGCCACTATCAAAAAAGGAACATAAAAACTTCCAAGAAAAAGGTCTGATTGGGTTAGTTAAAGAACAACAAGGGATGAAGATGAAAAAAGATTAGCTGAGGCAATTGTAGCAAATATAGCTGATCCAGTTATAAGACAAGTTGTACTAGACCGGCTAGTAAATAATATACTGAAACTTACACAAAGATTAGCAGAATTAACAACACAAGAAATTAAAAATATTATAAACATTTATCTGGAAAAATAATAGATATATTTAAGAAGAGCAAAAAAGAGTTGGCGAGTTGACTGTAAATTATATGGATGTTGGAAATCAAAGACATTTTTTGTAAAAACAAATGAGTATATAATGCGATAACAGATGATGAATATGATGAATTTTTAGAGAAATAAAGCATAAAAAAATCATGATAATATAAGTAAATGGATTGATATTGAAT